AAAATGACAAAAATAATGTTGGACTGGATTCATTCAGTAGCTGATTGTTTCCTAAAAATGGTTGTGATTTTTTTTCTCTTTCAATGTCAGTGTTCTAGACTGCCAAAAAACAAAACTCCCACAACATTCCAGTTCATCTAGATGTACATGAACAATTTTCCAGCTGAAACAAATGACTTATCCTTTCTGGATCTGTACGAGTGCCATACTTTTTTGTGTGTATGTTTCTGTTTAATTAGTATGTTTGGTTATTGTGAAAGTGAAGGCATTGTTCATTAGGGAGGCTATCCTCATTATGTAGAATTGTAAACAATTTATTACTTAAACATCTCCTAATTTAATAGTTTTCTGTAGCACATCCAGCACACAGCTAAGAATGTTGCAAAAAAGCTGTTGCAGTACAGAACCCAAGACCATGTGCTGGCATAGTGTAAGCACTACTGTCCTGGGCATAAGGCAAGCATTTTGTCTGACATTAACACATTGAAAAGATACGGTTTATCAAAATACCTGTGCAGCATTTCTTATTCATTGTTAACTCTGTTAGAATCAGGTCCCAGGCTCCTGACATTGTTACAATCAACCTTGTGAGTTCAATGTCAGATGAAACTTTGGTCGAATTAGAATCCTTAGAATTTATGGGAATCCTACAAAGCAATTTATCAATTTGTTCACCCAAAAAACAAAGACTGTTATCGTTTAAAGACATTTTAAAATTGTCTAAATTCCTTTTTTTTTTGGTTAACATTTATATAAAATGCCACATAAAATTTGAAATGTTGTCATTGAGATATTTATGTGTGATCTTAAGGTGTACATATATAAATATATAGGCCGAGCCAGAAAAGGAACAAATCATGTTGTCATCCACTTATGGAGAAAGAATTATATCTAATATTGATAATGAATAGCCTCTGTTATATTCATTGTGATTTCTCTCTTTATGACACCTGTTTAGTCTATATTTACATTTATTCAATACATACACTTATAAATATATATTTGAAATGATATATCTATGTATATAAAGGAATGAAATGATAATCTTTGTTTATTGGTTTACATTTGTAATGCTTAATGTTTATTCATGAAATTGTGTGTAATTAACGTTCACCATTGCTAATGTAAATATTCAATGTTAACCCGCTCTGTCCTGTTCTTCTGTCTTAGAGGATCCCACATGATCTCTTTAATGTGGTATTCAAAAAGATTACCTTGTCACACAATGTTTTGATTCTGTGGTAGTAAGTACTTTATGTGACAGTGATTCTTCTAGGAATCAAACCAAAATTAATCAAACTAAAACCAGAGTTTAGCCTGCTAGTCTAACCCACTGCCAACTTTGAATTACTCTTTATGCCAAAATTTTCTGATTTTTTTGAAATTTCGACAAGAAAATACATTTTGAGTTGATAGGACATTGAGGCAGTTAAAAGACAGCTTAGCTGTTCAGAAATGGGAAGTAATGACTCCCATAATTCCTATTGCTAATGTGAAGGTCGAAGGCTATTAAGGTCAAAATTATTTCATCTAAATTTGTATTTGCTCATGCTAAAACATTTAATGTATAAACACAATCAAATGAAATGTATCAAACTGATTGACTCAAGCGTCACTCTGTATAAATGATTGTTGACAAAGTTTAACATCCTTTTACAATGCCAATAAAATCTCTTAACTGCTGAGTCTATGTTGGTGGTGTTTTGTGAATAGCCATGTCTAAACCAAGTAGTTATTAGTTGCTCAAATAGTTAACTTCAATATTGTTTCTTTTCAAAAGAAGCATTCATCAAAATAGTTGGTTTTTTTTTGGTTATAAATCATTTAGGTAGTTGTACAATGTAATCTGAACATTACAGCTAGGACTTAATATTTATACCATGATAGCAATTAAGTTCTGTTTCTAGATGTGGTGCAGCTAAAAGACATACATATTAACATATCATTCTAATTTATATTTGTTTTCAACATCTTTTATTATTTACTTGTGTGTTTGAAGCCGTTTGAGTTTTTGGCACATCGGCACAATTTAGGCCATGTCGTGCCCGGAAGCCATTTGAGGAATTGTTTTTCAAAACTAAATATAAGTATAGGAATGGAATATTTTTGTTTATTCCCAAACTGCATTCCTATCTCCCTTGATAGACTTGAATAAAAAAAAAAATATCTGACAATATAGTTAAAAGTAGGTAGGGTATAAGTTTGTTGTTTTTTTTAAAGCAATATCAAGGTTTTCAGCAAAGTGAGAAATTAAAAAGACTGTGGAGTGCTAAAAAAAAAGTTGTATTGATTCTTGTAATGCCATTTATCTTATAAAATACAGACGTTACTTTAATATATATATATATATATATATAACTTTGTATAAACTAATAGAAATAAATATCTTTTATAGAATACAATAAATTCCAGATAGAATGGTAAAATGGCAATAGTTTCTCCATGTTGTTTGTCATCCTTTTGAATTTGTAAACAACTTTTTTGTGTCTTCCAGCTTACTAACCAGCATAACCAACTTTCATGCCAAATCTGTTCTCTATTTTACTATTGCTACTTTTAGGGCTGTATATAAATATACTTCAAATTCATATATTTTTTACATATTCTGTTATGGTTTGTTAGCACAAAAAGTGGTGTGTATCCAGTAACAACTATGAGAGACGAGGGCTTGTAGTCAAGGTTTTGAGTGTATGTAAATGGTGACACTGCAGGGAGGTCATTGTATGAGAGTACACTGCGCCTTAACAAGAGCATTGGTGTTTGGTCTGAGAGGCGCTCTCAGCATTGAGTACAATGAAGCAAAAGTCTTTGACTCCACTAGACCATAAAGAAAATAAAAGTTGTCATTTGACTTTTATCATTAGCATTGACTGACTTCTGTTTAAGCTGTGAGACTTAACAAAGCACTGTTTTTGTTATGGGTAAAAAGTGAAGGTGTTTAGTATTAAGTTACTGAAGGGGATTGGGAGATGGGTGGTTACAGTTAGTGGTAACTCTTCACTGCCTGCATTAACTTGGCTTCTTTATTATTTACATATATATATCATATTATGTCTACTTAATTATCTTTATTGACTATATACTATTAGATGAAAAAAGAATTGTCAAAACTGTGATATATGGCAGCTTTCTAGTGCCCCACTGACCTATATTGTTCTGATATTTTTTTTACAGTAACAGTGAAATGTCACTATGAAATTTATTTTCATTTGTTCATTATTGATATGATTTTTTTTCAAAAATCAAAATAGAATTTAAAAAAAAATTGTTCACATATTCTAAATAAAAACATGGTCTAGTGCTGGGGGTCCACACCTTGAGAAATCAGAACATAATGTACAGATATTCAGCTGACCATATCATGTTGACTTCATTGAAGTATGTCCTATATATGTATACTTTGGCAAATGTGCTTCCAATAGTTTCATTCTTTTACATTTGTATATGTAGTTTCAACATTTGGAACCTCTTATTGTAATAGTTAAGACAGAAAACTCTTTGGGTTGTAAGTATTAGAGTTTTCTAGAGTCTTCTACAAATGTATAAACACAGAGTTTCTTGTTTATGTCTGAAGAATGGCCGCCTGGTAATCTGCTAGTTAGTCATAGAGAAGAATTAAGCTCTATTTCTGATTTAAATATATTTTCTCAAATTTTGGAAAGGGATGGAGAGGGCAGGAAATGCCTTAAATGTTGTTGGAATCATCACTATACCATAGAAATAAAATGAATTATTATATATAAGATTATATCTGTCTGTATCAACATGTATTCATTAATAAACTTGTAAACCATCCATGCTTTTAGTGCCAATATCTTATAAGCTTGTTTCCCAATTGTTCTAGTTCTCATTTGATTCTGCTGTTCTAGAATAACCTTCATGTTCTGTCTTGTTATAACTTCACTATATACAACTATATTATACATTGAATAATCTGAATGGAAAAAGCATGTGAAAATAAAAAAAAATTGTTTTGAAAGATGGCTGAGTAGAAAAGTGTAGTCTTCTAAACTGCTGTATCTGTTGTTGAGAACATTGTCTGAAGATTATATTTGTGTTTTTTATTCAGATACAAAAAAAAATGTACTTTAATAAAACGATAAAATATCTGGAGGTTTGTCTTCTTCTTTTTGTATGTTTTTTACCGGTATTTAAAAAAAAAAACAGAATAAAAGTCACCAGTAGGAATATTGTATTTGTTTGGTAGATCACAAGCTCACAACTGTTCTCTATCTAATGCATTGAACTTGAAACATTTCTTTAGTTGTTCATGCTATGACTCAAAGCATTCTGGTCCAATCTCTTTTGGGGGACGTGCAAACAACTCAGCTGGTGGAGGTTTGAACTTTTAGCCCCCTTGCTAGCGTTTGTCACCCAGCCTCAATTTGATCATTTATTTTTTCTATTTTAATCAGATTTAAGTTGTCAAAAAGTTTGGAATGTAGCAATTTTTTTTTAAATTTAATAGCTTCATTTTTGTGGCTTTAAATTAACTAATCTATACGCCTACGTTTATTCATGGGAGAATTTTTTTTTAATGCAATTTCTTTTTTTTTTTTCTGTTCTAATTTTGTTTTTCTCACCAAGAATTTTAGATATAGTCGTGTCTCGGCTGGCCCTAGTATGATCTAATACTGATTTTTTCCTGAGGAGAGTGGCTGAGTGTTTAAGTGTTTGGCTTTCAAACTGGGAGGTCCCAGGAAAGAATCCTGATAAAGATTGGATTCCTTTTTCTTGGGGATCTTTACTGAGTCCACCCAGCTCTAATAAGTACATGGCATTAGTTTGAGGGGAAAAAGGCGGTTGGTCATTGTTCTGGCCACATGACACCCTCGTTAACCGTGGACCACAGAAACAGATGACCTGATGAAGGTCTGAAATTTTCTCCTGAAGTGATTTTTCAAGCCTGGGGTAGGCCTTTAGTGTAACCAACAAACAATTTATCAAAGCCACAAAGTTACTACATTACAAATATTTTTAAAAAATCATTAAGCTTCAAATAAAAAAAAAAAAAGTATTGTATTTGTTCACATTTTTTTTTGGCATAAGATAAAAACAATAAACCTATACAAGTCAATAATTTACACATAATGAATTTCAAGACTAAATGTGACAACGAACATGACATTCTTTGAACATGCTTACAATGACAAAATGAACTAAAGTCTGCTTTAAAAAGACAAGTGTTTATCAAAACTATTTCCTTTTCCTACGTCTCCAGCACTCACCCCAAGGACGTACACACATCTGTTTCGACCCCCTTACAATATTGACACAGGTGAAAAAGGGGCAGATAACAAGCAAGGGGAGTTAGTCTATTTATCAATGCCGAGTTATCAGTTGGATTACCAAGCAAATAAGGTCAATGCTCTAGAGGGACTAGCCCAAAAAGAAGCGTGAAGGGGGCGTTCGAATCAAGCACCCCACTAATCAGTTCTCCAGCCTGATCTTGAATAAAACATTCTTCAGCAGCCAAATCTCATTTTCTGAAATCCACGCGGGAGCATCCTCGCCCGCCTTTCCCTCTCGTTTAATCTCAATTTTCACTGACCAGTGCCCAGTAGCATTCAGTGGAAGTCTTCTATTTCTCCAGTGGTCACCCTTGAGCCTGTCTTCATTTGTTGTCTCCTACTGGTCACTGGTCAGGGAAACTTATTGGCTTTACCCGTCTACCAACTGCCGACCTCACACTAGGCTTTGTTGGCCTTTAAACATTGGCCCATCACTCAATTCATGTTACATTCTCCATTCATCGTAGTCCTTGAGTCTAAATCTTCTTTCTTCTCTCTCTCTCACACAAGCATACATAAACACACACACACAAGCAATGAAATAATTAAGTTGGGGGGGGGGGGGGGGGGAACGTCAATCCTGCTTTAATAACATTGCTAATTGGAAAGAAAAATGTCTGCTCAGCATTGAGGTCAAATCAAGAGAAATTAACTCAGACTGTCCAACTGGCTCTGAATTACCTCCAACTGAAAAAAACAACAAAAAACAGTAGAATTAAAACTTTAAAAAAAAACAACTAACTTGCACAATAACAATAATGTTTTCCCGCCATCCGAAACTTCCAACTCTTGTGCTTTCTGGATATTGCATGTCAACCTTTGTCCTCTACTCACGCATAATTAGTTACCTCAGCACTGATGCATCCTAGAAATCGACATGCGAATTACAAAGTTAAATATACATGTCCTATTAGAATTGCGAGCTCCGAGATGGCATTGATTGCAATAAAGAAATATTTTAAAGACGATTTAATTGCGTTTTATAGAGCTGCATATAAACAAGCACATCGCAGAATTGCCGAAGAATATTCGCTTCACATCAGGGTCGGCCAAAGATAATTGGTGGCCCCAAATAAAATAGAAAAATGTAAAATAAATAAATACATAAAATGACGCAATTACATAGGGTACTCTAACAATACCATTGAGCAAAAGTTTCGTTATTTCTTCTCAGTGCCTAGGCCCTTACCAATCGGAGGCCCTACGCGGCTGCCTAGATTGCTTATGCCTAAGGGCCGGCCCTGTTAACATGTAATGTTTAAGAGAAACTGCGGTTAAGAGATCAATGCATAGTTTGTGTACTATAGTATAATTCATTTGCTCTTATTGTAAGAAGAATTTCCTCATGGACAATAAAAGACTTTTAAAATCATTTTTATTTTTAATCTAATTAGCTGCTCAGACGATTGCAACCAGATCTTTACCCAATACATACAAAAGACTTTATAAAATACACTAAAGCCAGAAGTCAAAATGATTAAAAAAAATATTAAAAAATCGATTCGACGTAGCAAAAAGTAGCACGTCAAGTATACATGAAATATTTAGTATTGAATCAAAACCCATGTAAAAAACGAGATATAATTCAAATCCAAATAACAAAAACACAATGTAATAAAATACCCAGAAAGACACAAAGATAAAGGCACATTCCTCGTCCCATATGCTAGGACATATTTGTGCAAGTGCTCCTTCTTTCCTAGTGCTATTAGAGCATGGAATGGGTTGTCGGAGTCAGCCAGGAAAACCAGTGACTTGGTTGACTTTAAGTCATCGATTAAAAAGCATGACTAGATTGTTTGTAAAATGTTTTACTTATTTCGGATGTTCCTTCAAAGTTGAAGATAATCACTTCCTAGTCCAAACCTTCCGCAGGACGACGGGGGATGGGAGCGGGCAGGGTTTGAACCCGGGACCATCGATAAGTCCGAATGACAGTCCAGCGCGCAAACCGCTCGACCAGGCAGCCTGGGATACACGCATGAAATAAACATCTTCTTTTTTAAAGTAACGTCTGTATTTTATAAGATACAATTATTGAACACTTTTTCAATAATGTATACTGTACAGTAAAAAACACCAACCCATAGAATCATTACGTGAGGCCTCGGTGTTCTTTAGAATCTGCTCCTTTGATCTCACCTTATTACTTGCCACGAGGTCACTCAATGACACCCCCATTTCGGACGCCGGTGTAATGGCTGCACAGTTCAAACTCAGTTGACAACAAATCAGTGATCTTTGACAGCCACATTTCCATCCTCATCACACTGGCCCATTTTCCAACGGGGATTCACTCGGACAGGGCGTTCCCTCCCACATCATTCGTTATTAATGAAACGACCCCCCCACCCCTTTCCGCATAGCCTCCCCAGGGAAGCATGCCCCCCCCCCCCGCCCTTCAACGGAGATGATGGCAGAAGGAAAACGCCAGTGAATCTTCTCTTCTGGTAACATGTCAACCAACAAGAAATGGGAAAAGTCTCCAAAGATTGACTGGCTCTACTAGATCTATAAATAATCTGCTCACACGATAGCTTTCTCATCTTCTTCCAATACATTATTTAAACGCATGAGATATTTGTAATAAAAGTAGGTCAAGGGTTAATGGTACTAAAAGACGTGATGATGTCACTCAAGGTCTCGGTAGAGGCGAAGAAAACAACATAAAAAAAAATACTTTTTGTTGACGCAAATATCATGTGCCCCTTTTTTTCTCATTCCAATGCTTCTACATGAAAAAAGTACGAGAGCCACTGTATTAGGGAAAGAAGGGAAACGCTTTATCAGATACGATACTGGGTTTAACTTTGGTGGATGGTTGTTTGTAGCACTTGTCTGGACCAGTTGGAGGTATCTGGGTGAACGACCTGAACCCGAATTCGAGGGCTAAAGCCTCCTCAACCTCCTTAAGCCAATACGCTGTGCCAGGGAAGTGCTTATAAAAATAGGTTTTATAGTTATCTATTGCTTGTTTCGATTTTTGTTCCCTAAGAGCTGGGAAGCCATTAAAAAGCTAGCAAGAGACCGTGGAGAGTGGCGTGTTTTTACTGAGGCCCTGTGTTCCACGAGAAACGCAATGGAAAGATGATGATGATTGCTTGTTTCAAACTTTTTTTCTCAATAAAGTATTAAGTGGAGTAATTCAACTTAAACAACCACATCAGTCAAGTACAATGTCTTTCCCTTGTTCGAGATACGAAAGAAAATAAGTACCAATATTTAATTAACTAATTGGTAATTTTTATTTTATTTTTTTGGTTGATTCTTTATTGATTCTTGTGTTGTCAGGTAAAAGTTATGCAAAATTGCGTGTGGGAGAAATAACGTGTACAAGCCTTTGACCAGACAGAGTGAGTTGATAGAAGCTTGCAAATATATATATATATATACCATTTGCTATTAGACATGAGATAACAATATTATTATTAATGAACTTTCAGTTTGTTTGTTAGTTGTACATGTTTCGGGTGTTCTTTCAGAGTTGAAGATAATTTACTTCCTAGTCCAAACCTCCCTCAGGACTACGGGGCTGGCAACGGGGAGGGTATGAACGCGTGACCATCAAAACGACAAACCAGCGCGCATACCGCACGACCAGACAGCCATAGTTGAACACGTGTAGGCCTGCTGTTCAGTCGTCGCCCTTCTAATAATCTCATACTTCTAATAATCTCATACTTCTAATAATCTCATCACATCAAGAACAACAAGAACAACAACATCAACAAGAACAACAACAACATCAACAAGAACAACAAGAACAACAACAACATCAACAAGAACAACAACATCAACAAGAACAACAACATCAACAAGAACAACAACATCAACAACATCAACAAGAACAACAACATCATCAACAACAACAACAACAAGAACAACAACAACAACAACAACAACAAAAGACTATGTTAAACTCATTGGAATGCGGGTTCTGAAAGAGCACAGTTAACTGTAACTCACAACTTAACACACAGTCCCATAAGTGACCTCGAGCTAAGTGATACCAGTGTGAGAAGATGGTTATCAGTTATCATTAACAGACTCTAATAAGTTACAGACATTACTTCAAGACATAATATAATGACGTCCTATACACAATCTTATACACTGCAGACGTTATTTCAAGTTTTCTCTGTAGGGAGAAAATAAGTGGCGGGGTCGGTCTTAGACATAAGTAAACTAGGCAGCCGCCTAAAAACGACAATTGGTGGGGGCCTCGCATAGGACTAAAAAAAAAATAGAGAAAAAACAGAGAAACTTGGATCAAATCTCAAACAACGCAAAGCTCTATTTCTCTATGTCTGCTAGATTAGCTCTAATTTTTTACCAGTGACAGATCTTTGTGGAGACCACCCGAACGGCGCGAGAAGATCTAAGTCTAAGTCTAAATGTTTATTAACAAAGGTTTTTACTAGTTATATATGTTGGAAGACCTTTTGGTGAAAATATCGAGACTTGGAATCTGGTGAATCAAAAGGCAAACGAAAAGTAATATATGGCTTAAGAAGAAGTGATCAACGAATCGGCTAATTAACAGGAAAAAGTAATGAAGACTGGCTATATGGGCATTCGGCCCCGTGGGCCGGTAGGGCAATCGAAAGGGTCGCAAGCTGCCAATATGTATTAAATTGTTAAAGGTTTTATAATATTTTTTTATAAAGGGGTTTAAAAAAATATCTCTACAGTGTAATACTAATTTAATATAACAAATTTTCTGAAATAATGTAATAGCCTACATCCGTAACAGTGCTACTAGTGGGCTTCATCCTTTTAGAGTCTACACACTGAGCAATTAGAAAGCAACATAAGGCCTATATTTCTTATACACATGCACAGTCATTGATACTCAAACTTAACATACTGATTTTGAGGACAGGTAGGCCTATAATTGGATATCCATCAAATGGTATGCAATTTATTGGTATGCAATTTATAGGCCTGATTGTTTAAAAATACCCGGGCCGATTTTGACACCCAGTCCGCCCATGAACACGGTCACGAAAGATTCCGATTCAAGCGATGCAGAGGAAAGCCAGCATATCTGTTTCGATTGGAAAGATCTAGAAAATCTGGGCTTATGGTCATCTTCAACAAGCAATAAAGAACATGCCGAAAACATATTGATTGATTTCGATATAAGTACAGATATCAGTACAGATTTGTTTTTAATAAATAGTGTGATTTTATTTTTTCGTTACTTATTTTGAATTTCGATTAGAGGTCACCAAATTCACTCCCCTTGGGCCTCCAATTACCTAAGGCCGGCCCTGTCATGAATAAAGGAGACATATAACTACTAGGGTGATACATTAGTTTAATCAATCATATCCTTGACATTAGTTTTTGTTTAATAAAGCCAGGCCAGTGTAAAGTAACACAGTGACAGCTACTTTGTTCTAGAAAGCAAAATAACTTTCTTTACAATAAACTGTTGATGAACTGACTGTGAGTAGATAGAAGTACATTTTGCTTTATTTACATTTCAACAACAAACACCAACTTTAACCATGTCTATAAAATCTTCTCTTTCAATTTAAAGCTGCATTGAATCAATTGTGTA